TGTGAAGAATGGGCACCAAACTGTACATAACAGGATAAGCAGAGGCCCAGTGGAGTTAGTGTTCCCTTTGGCTATGGTATAGTGGTGCAGAAACAGGAAATGAGGTTGGAAAGCTAGTCAGGCCAGATGCGGAGGGGCCTGAAGACCTAGCCAAGGAGCGCACACCTTTGCACATAGAGCAGCACTTCTCAAACTTAATTGTGCATACAAATCACCTGGGGATCTTGTTACAGCCGATCTGGCGGTGGGACCTGAGATTCTCCATTTCTAACTTCCAGGTGGTGCTGATATTCGGAGACCACATCCTGAGTATCAAGAACACAGATGGTGGGGAACCACTGCACAGAGAAACTGCCTGATGCCCCAGTGTGATCCAGGAAGACTAAATCTGACAACAGTGGATCAGGCAGATTAGAATGGGGAGAAGTTGCAGCATGTGGTCCTCAACACTGGTTGTTTCTTAGAATCATCTGGGAAGATTTTATTCCACACTGTTACCCAGGCCCCACTCCCAACGATTCTGATTTAATTGATCTGGAGTGGGGCCCAGATTTTAGTATGTTTAAAAAGTTCTCCAGGGAATTCTAATGCGCAGCTAGGATTGAGAACCTCTGCTGTAGATGACACAGTAAGTACCGAAACCATTCAGGCAAAGATGATGGAGATCTAAACTAGGCCACTGTCAGTGAGAACAGAGTGAAGAGGCCAGGGGTATAAAATACTGGAAATGTAGAGGGAAGTGACCTTAGCAACTGACTGTGCAGTGACTTAGATGTACAGCTACAACATTCATTTCTTCTGGTTAAAGACAGTTTGGTGAAATGGTTAAGAACACAGACTTTGGGGTCAGAGACTGCCTGGGTTTGAGTTCCGGTTCTGCTGTTTATTTACTAGGGTGTGTGCATCAGAGAGAGAGAGAGACCTTGAGCAAGTTCCTTAACCGTTTCGTGACTCAGTGTACTCATCTGTAAATTGAGGATATAACAATAACCAACATATGGAGTTGTGAAGATTAAGTGAGTTAACATACATGTAAAGCCCTCAGAACCACACTTGGCACATTGGAAGGGCTATAAAGGCATTTGCTCTTATTATTAGCACGGTTCATTATCTATTTTGATCTCTCCAGGACGTCAAATTGCATGTAACACCGATCTGGAAAAAGAGAAGTCCTTGAGGGCTCTCAACCCTCAGCCTATCTGAAGTCACTGGGTTGCCAT